GGCGCTCCGTCCCTTCTCGGACGGACGGGGGGTGAGGGGCACAGAGGTGGAGAGAAGAAGGGGGCAGCTTTACATCTACGGTAACTAGTATTAGTTGCACTACTCCACTACTGCTACCCAGCTGCTAACTTACACGGTGCACGGTTAAGTACAAAGGGAACTACTGGAGTTAGCAAAGGCTCCGACCGAGCACGCTCTAACTCCAATGTCTGCCCTGGGCTGTCCCAGGCAAGAAGCTTCTCTTCACAAGACTGTGTAGCTGCAAAACAAATGTAAGCATTAAAATAATAAACAAACAAAAACCAGAAAGCAAAATAAAAACCAACAAAGAAGTACAAACACACATAGCCCCAACCCCGGTCGGCACACAGAGACATCCGCTTCCCACCAGCAACCTCCACCCGCTCTCCTGCCTTTGTCACACGTCAGCTGGGCTGGACACTGCTCGGAGGGGACCACCCTGGCACCGGTGCAGCAGAGCACTAATGCTGCTGGAGGTAGTTTGAGGGTGACCTAAAACACCTGTCGGAGTAGTGACAGAGCAGCACGAGAGCAAGTACGAGATGCGAGTGAAAGGGAAAGAAAGAAAGGCATCCAAATCACTGCAAATCTCAACTCGGAGGGGAGCGGGGTGGGAGAATGCTGCCCCACCCGGCAGAAAAGTGATTTGGCACTCCTCAGCGTACCAAGCAGGGCATTGCTATGAGCAAGAGGAAGGAGTTAATGAGAAAGCGGTGATGGACAGTTCACAGCAAAAAGGACTTCAGAAGAGATCATTTCCCTTCCGTTCTGGCTGGGCAAAACACCTTTCCCATTGCACCTCATGAACCAGCAGTTTGACATCCTTAGAGCTACTTCAAAAATAAGTAACAGAGAAGCTCCGACTGCTGCGTCGTGTGAGATACTACTGCTGTGTGCAGGAAACCAGGGAAGGAACACAGGAGGAGACAGAAAAGGGCATGCCTGTTCCTTCCCAGACTGACCTGAACAGTATCAAATACTCCAGACGTTCCCAACTCACATTAAGGATTCTCCCATTATAGCTTTAAATAGTCAGGCAGCTAGTATGGTATGTCTGTGTAGGGGAAACGCTGGGAATCCCACCTAGATCTTCTCCAACCTACTAGCTTTTTTCATATCCATTTTCAGAGTTTTTCAGCCACAGGCTCCTCTGCGGAGGCAGCCAATTCAGGGGAGATCAGGCAGACAGTACCATAACTGGCAGACTAAGCACAGTACCAGCTAACTGAGCTAGCAAGACAGACACGCAAGGTAAAGCTCACAATAGATAAATGCCCCTCAGAACCAACATTATCGAAGGATTTTCACTCAGAGCACTTGACAATGGATTCAGAAATGCTGAAGGGTCTTCCAGCACCCACAGCCTCCCTTCCAAAGGATCCTCAAAGCAGTTTGTAAAAACTGCTTCTTGTTCCTTTTGTACTTCCCGAGCACCACCCATGTCTGGGGTGCCCAGAAGTTCGTGACAAGCGAGACTGAATTCAGCCTTGCGCATCCCCTCCACAAGCAGACCTGCACCACTGACCCCATCTACCACGAGGAAAACTAAGAGATGCAGTGACTTGCCCAAGGAAACCCCAAAAGGCAGTGTCTCTGCAGAGAACTCCACGTCTCACCCAGATGAAAGCAAGGGAATGAAATTAGCTAGGATGAGGTTCTGGTTTTTTTTCAAAAAGGGAAGGAAAGGTTTGGAAATTTTCAGTGTGCAAAGGAGGGTATTTTGCAGGAAGGGAGATGATTTCTTTTTATTCTGGAGTACTAGAAATGAAAAATCAACGTTCTGGAAGTTGAGGAAAGGAAAAATCTTGGGGAAGGAGAAATGGGAAAGGTGGAGGGAGGGTGGGAAAAAGATGCCGTGAAGCACTGCACCCCTGGACTTACTGGCTGAGAAACAGAGAGAAAGCTGGGACTGCATGGACTCAGTCTGTGTTTTGCTCTCACTGTGCCTCCGTCCTTCAAGCACTGAGCTGCCGTCCCCGGTGGAGAGAGGGGGAGCTAGCATGGCAGGGAATTAAAACACAAACACAAACAAAACACGCAAGTTCAGTAAATAAAAAAAGAGAAAGGAAATAGGAGAACATTAAAGAAACCACAATGCTGGGCACAAAACATGCAGGAGTATCCTCCAGGGCAAAGCCAAGAAGACAGCTCTACAACATGGACCTGCTGTGCAATTTAGAATGACACAGGGGCAGGTGGGGGGCGCTGGCTTGAGCACCACCACAGTGGAAACAACACATCCCTGAGGCAACTGTCACTGATGGATCAAGACAATGTCTCCTACACCACAGCAGAACAGATCTGCGTAACCAAATAAGAAGTTGGCAGAGGAATTGCACAAGCACTTCCCTTTCCCCAGAGTCATGGCTATGCGGAACGCCGAGAACTCCAACACCCCTAAACCTTTTGGTCTAATTAAGTTTTGCTTGAGTGCTTGCTTAGCTTAAAACATGGAGGGGCAGAAGTTGAAAAGGAACACAGGTGAACACTGCTACACTTAAAACTGAAGCACTAAAATTACCAGAGCTGGCCATAGCACAAACCATTACTGTGCAAGCTCCTTCCCTCCCAACCACCATTCAAAATGCTCCCTTCTATTAAAATCATAACAAAATTTTCTAACCTCTGCCAAAAAAAACCCCAACCCCTCAGTTTTGATCTGCAGCAATGTAGCCCTACACAATTCTTCATAGATTTAGCCCTGGCCAGCTGCCCTCCTTCCCCCCACCTCCTGTTCCAGTCCTAGCCTTCCTCTCCTCACAGCATTCGTATTCCTGACTTACAGGACCCGTTGGCTCAACTGGCTCAAGTCTGGGACCTCTCCTGAACAAAAGCTGCCAAAGAAGACAAGGTTGTGGACAAATATCTGTTCTGGATGGCTATCCAGCAGAGATTAGATAAATCAATTTCATTACCATACTACCAAAACCATCCAGTTCCCTTCCCTCAAAGCTAGGTTCTTAAACCACAGATTACTCTTTGGCAAAAAGGTGGTAGCTAGAATACTGTCCTGTAATGAGGTCAGGTCTTATCTGAAACAATCTGTATTGCAGAGCTCATTCACTCACTGGCATGTGTTTCTGCTCCCTGTGACTCCTCAGAAGAGGAGCCAGCGGCTTGTGACAAGCCACAGGAAAAGCATCAGGAACTAGCCCAGCTGACAGAGGTGACTTTGCTGCTACACCACAGGGTCAGCATTGATTTTTCCCTGGATACGTAACTCACATTGACTACAGGGAGAATGACAATACCTCTGCCTCAAAATGCAAACTGTTAACACATTTGCCTCGGAATGCAAACTGCATGCACCCATCCCTAACCTGCTCATTCAGGAAAATGTCTGCTCGTCCTTCTTTAGGGAAGTCAGGAAAAGGACAGCTGCTCAAACAACATGAGCAGATATGGGACTTGGAGCTCCTTCACCTAAAGAGTTTTACAAGCACAGAATATTTACGATACGGTCACTGAAAGCTGTGAAATCTCCTCTCAGCCTGTCCCTCTACTGATATCTCAGTCAAGGACATGAAAAATCATTTCCATTCAGAGATGATAGGCTGAGAATGATCTTCATCTTAGAAACAAAAATAGACCCAAAGAGAAAAAAATAAAGAGGGAAGTGTGTGCATGTCACTAAAGAGATTCCCAGAAAGGGGTGAGAAGCGAGACTGAGCAGTAACAGAGAGGTTTCAACTCCCTGTCACTTACAGGGAAGCACAAAAACACAACCAGACTCCAAACCTCAAGGGACTGGTAGGGATTTTCCAAGCCTAGAAATGGGCTGGAGATGAACAGATTATGATATTTGCAAGGAAAGAATTCCAGCTCTGAGGCAAAAACAAATTAGCTCAGGGCAAACAGTGTTTATATACCACAGAGGCCAAGTCAGCTGGTTCCCCAATGCATGGTCCCTGTGACAGGAATGACAGTGTCATGGTGAATTTATGAACCGAATCAGACACAGAAATCTGGGAAGCTAGTTCAAGGCAATGATCGAATCTCCAGGATCCCCTGCCTGCACTTAACTGTATTAGAAATTACAGGCAAAACACCTACCTTTCAGATCCTCATCTTCGGTTGTGGTGTTACAGCTCTCTGTGGAACCCTGCATGGCAGAACAGAGCGTTACCAGGCATCAACAGTTGGGAGCATGAGTAAATAGTTTGATTCGTTTTGTGAAGGAAGACGGGGAAAAGTGCAAAAACATTGGCAGGGATGGCAGGGAGAGGATGATACAAGGAAGATTTGGATGGAAGCAGGCCAAATATTAAGCAAAACTTAACAGCATCTCTGCTCAGCTTTTGCATGTTTAAGCCGTTCAAGCCATCCACCCAGAACTTTTACAAGGACAGAAGTTACCAAACTCTGTCAAATGAGATCAAATGGGATGTGCTTCTGTTTGGAAGAAAATTAGCCACAAGAAGCTAAAGAAGGGCTCCTAGGCTTTCTCAGAGGAACAGGTCTCCATTTCGAGACGAAAAAAAAAAAAAGCGCGTAAGTGCCTGTATCTTCTCTTCCACCCCACATGCGGAAGAGTGGTGATTACACACCACAGTAGGAAAGAGATGATAATACTTGAACAGTTGTCCCTAGTCAGCCTCTTCCAGAGATCCACAGCCATACAACACAATCCTCCCACTTTACTGCAAGCAGTATTCAGGAGCATGCTACAAACCAGACGTCGGAAAGGTAGAAACCGAAATAAGACACACGAAGACGAGAACGACAAGAGAGAAGCGGAGGTTTCTCTGGCAACACTCCCATCCCTTACCTTTATGCCATCTGTAGCATTATGGACAACAGTTGTTTGAGGCTCCTAGGAAAGGATGGAAGAATCATTAAACTCCAGTTCCAAAGCATTCTCTCATTTCTCTTTGCTCCCCAGTAAGTGGAGAAAAGGTGACTGACATTAAAAAAAAAAAAAAAAAAATCAAACCACAAACTCCAAACAGCACACGTGTGCTTGCGTGTGCACGCACACACTTCCTGCACAGGTTTCCTGAAGAGAGAGGCTGCACTAAAAGCTACAGTCACAAGGAGACAAAGCCCCCAGCTTCCCTGCAATTGCCCCTAATTCCCAATTTGCCTTCAGTGAACCAGGCTGGCACAAACACCAAACAGCAACTGAGCAGCCAGACTGCACCCTCTGCAGCCATTCATGAAGTAATGACCCCTCAGCAGTGTCCTCGCTGGAAAATGCTTCAGAAGACGGAGAGGGGGAAGAAAGGACAATACTGGGCTGGGGCCTTTGTCTCCCAGTTTTTTTGGAAGTTTGCCAGGTATTTTACCCTAAAAAAAGGGACATTCATAATTTCCATAATAAAAAGGGGATAAGCCAGACCACCTCAATGCCTCTCAGGGAGGAGCTGCTAAGGGAACTGGACTGTGAAAAAAGGCACATTTTTCTCAAAGTCTCTCTAAAATGAGATCCAATTTCAATAATAACAACAATAATTAGTAATTTAGAAAGGCTCCCTCAGTTTATTATCAAAACCATAATGAACAAAGCCAGTGAAGGGAAAGCAGAAAATTATGAAGTGTCCCAAGAATCCTTTGCCCTACAACAAACAACAAAAACATCAAATCCCACCCTCCCACCCCCCAAAAAATGCCGAATCCAGCTCTCCAGAGACACACAACAAAGAGCAGCTACCAGGCCTACAGGTGCTAACTAGCTCCTTCATTACCGGGACAAGACTTCAGGATCCTGCACCATCTCCTCCCACTGCTGTCACTCTTGCAGGGTGGCTCAGCAAGGGCACCAGGGACTGTGACGGTGCAGTGATAAAAACTCACCCATCTGCCTCTGTCACCCACTGCACTGCTGCCTGATCTTCCAAGCATACTGAGGCGGACCACACCGAGCTGTGCCGTTAAACGTACTAGGCACAGGGCACCCTATGAAGCCCACTGCGCACAACCCAAACAGAAGATGCTAGCCCAGCAAGTCAGTGAGCTGCAGAGGATCAACCACACAACTGAGCAGGCCAAATGGGCCATCAAAGGATTCCTCTAAAACCCCTTTGCCTCCTGCCCTTTCTTCTGTGGTGTCCTGAAGTCCATCCTCCATTTCCTGGGTGTTGGAGAGTGGATGGAGCTTGACACTCTCTTCTTCCAAACCAGCCTCCCCAAAGCTAGCAGGAACAGTTGAACGGGACACACAGAACTATACAGGGATGGCACAAGGGGAAGTCCAGGCAAGCTGCGATCCCCACATCCAACCACAGCTCTGCTCAGCATCCCCACCCCAAAGCCTGTGAGGTTGTGATCAGGCCCCACAGCAGCACAGGGACACAGACAGAACAAAGCCAAAACACAAGCTGAAACAGAGCAGCACAAGCAGCACTCGGGATGGGGGGGAAGGAGAGAAGGGGAGAGGACAGAATCAAAATTAAACCAAACAGGAAAAAAAAAAAGCGGTTGGGGAAGATACCATGGACGTCTGCACTGGGGGTGTTTCTTTTGCAGTGCTTACTATACTGGTTTTGTTGTTGCTCTGTGGCTGAGACAGAAAAACATGGTTTTAGTTCCCCTGCTGGGCAGCAGAGGCAGCAAGAAAATGACAGTATTGCTTCAATCCCAACCATCTCCTCAGACCCTCCCCTCCCCACAGGCTCGATTACCAAGAAGAGGAAGGAAGAAGGAGTGCTGCCCAGGTTGCTGGACACCATCCTTCCTGCAGAGGCAAAAGATGTTGTACAGGATGTACCAAAACCCAAATGTGCATGGACTGCTAGAGCTATAAGGAAGGAACACAGAAGGGAAAAAGGCAGCAGCCCAAAGGGATGGGGAGAATCCTGCAATGAGGACCAACAAAACTATTTGGTGAAGAAGAATGAGACATGGCAGCAGTCCTGAGAGAAAGAGACTACAGAAGTGAGAGAGACACAATAGTCATGGTGCAGTCTCAAACAGGGGACAAATGGGAGTTGTGTCTGAGAAGTCCCAAAGTGTGCAGGAACTGTCCTAGATATGTGATGATGCTGAGGATCCCAGGGAATCTACTGATGCAAGAAAAAGTGTGGTCAGCCCTAGAAAAGGTAGAGAAAAGGTGAGGTATGGTGTGTTGTGTCCCTGCTGTGACCTGAACAAAGAGAATTCAGGACCAAAATATAGAAAGGGATGGGAGTGGAACGCAAGGAAAAGGCCATGTAGTTCCCCAAGTAGTAAGTCCTTTGGATGGTGCCCAGTAGTTTTTCGTCTGTCCCCTCTTCAATCTCGCTTGTAGCTGGTGGTGGTGGAAGAATAAAACCTTCATCTTCTGCATTCACATAGCACAACAGTGAGGCAGTCACCAGCTTGCTGCAAAGAAATGTCCCATTGAGTCATGTATGTCAGTTATGTCAGGAATGAGCAAAGTCTATGTTTGTAGGATGACAAACCTGTGTCCACTAGCATATAGTTCCTAGCCCACAAATCCAGTCAGTTGTTGGAGAATTAGGCCCACAGTTACACTGCTGTGTAACCCACACCAGGTATATAGCCCTCTTGCTGCCAGACACCAGCAACAATGTCAAAATCAGCACTGGAGGAGCCTCACTCAAACTCCTTGGTTTACAGATCAGGGGTACTGGATGGGAGTTCACAGCAGCGTGACCTCATTGCAGCTGCTCTCCATCCCACTGTTCTTGGGGAGTGCAAACTCATACTGCAAAACATCAGGCCCTCATCACGCAGTAATCACCACAGAGAATGCAGAAGTCAAATGCTGAGCTGGAAAACATCTGCCAAAGGTTTAATTATGTCAACCAGAGACAGATCCTATGAGGTTGACACTTCACACACTCCTACCAATACTTCAGGTTTTTTTCACAAGCAGCATGCCTTGGCTTAGCTATCCCTTCTGGAGAGGGAGAGAGGAGAAACAGAAAAGGAAGATGGGGCAGGTGGAGAGGCAAAGAAGTAGGAGAGAGGCAGGAAAGAATTCTTTAAAAGTCCATGGGGAAAAAAAGAGCATATGACACACTCAACCCCAAAGCTAAGAAAGGAGAAACACTTCACAAATTACTGTTTACTGCCTCTTCCTATACTTCCCACATTGTCCTAAGACTTTGGCCTTCCAAGAGCTTTGCTTCCTGCATGTATTTCCAGCCTGATGGGAGAAGAGATGACAGGCCACTGTGGATGTGAGAGAGGAGCAGATCAATCTGAAAAAATGAATCCCAAGCTATTTTGCGGCATAAACACAACCAAACTTCTGGCAAGGCCTGGGTCCACCCCTCCACACAGCACTGAGGTTCCTGTACTTCTTCAGAAACAGTGATCCTAATGCAGAGAGCTATCTTCTAAACCTCTTCCAGTGAGAAGAGAATGGCCCATTTTTCTTAGTCCACTGGGATAAGAAGATGAAGTTAGCGTGAAAGCAGCTATTCAAAAATACTTCCGACTTTTTGGAAGGCTTTATAACTGAGGCCAAATGGGAAAAAAAAAACCATTCAGGAAGCCACTGCTCTGGAAAAAAGTTGACAGCAGCTTATTAGGTGTAGGATGTCACCTTACAAAGTGCAAACCCACGCACACCCAAAGCACGCAGCCTACTCCCCAGGCTGCACTGAACACCCAGTTCATCCATCATACTCTTCCCCTGCCAGTGGGCTGAAGACGACCGAGTATCATGTTTGCTAGTCCAGAATCACATAGCATTTTACTCCAGGACAGAGTCCCAAGGAAATAAGAGACAGGAGGCTTAGCCTAAGCAGTTTTCACAGCTCTTTCTCAGATGGAGGTATCTGACATACTGAGCTTCCCACACACACTAGGTGTCTTGTGGCCACCTAACCAACTGCCCTTCCCTGGAAAAGACTGGCCTGCCCTTCCCAGAGGCCCAGGTACCGCAGCTAACTCTTACCCCTCCTTCCCCTCCTACTGCCAGCCAACATCACAGTCACTGGGCAGGCTACGATCCTTGGTAATTCACAGCAGTACAGCTCAAGTTAAAAGAGGCCAATTCACCTAAAAAGGTGCCAGGCCCTTCTTAAGATCTATGTAACATGATTAGTTTTGGCACAGCAGTTGGCAGCGCTTCCTGAGCTAGACAAGAGACAGACAGACAGGCACAAACAACACAGAGGGTGCAAAAGAAAGAAAACAGACCAGTGATCATATCGCTAGGGACACACATTTCTAGCCAACTAAAAGAAAATAAGTACCAACACATGAACCGTCTCTGGTTATTTAGCCACCTTCACCTTCACTGCTTCCATGTTTTCTGAGGCTGACATTTACATATCCCAGCTGCTTTAAAACAACATGGAGAGGGAATTTAAGTATTGCTGGCAGTGGGCAGAAAAGAAGGGCAAGAAAGGCACATGAACTCCTGCCCTGGAGTTTCATAAAGGCAGGGCTGGTGAAAAGTCAGTTCCTCACGTCAGATTTTCCAAGCAGTACTTTGGGATGACTTTTTTGTGTTTACATAGTTTTAAGCTGTCATTGAAGGAGGAAGAGGAGAAATATCTTCCAGATAGTAATGTAGAAACAAATTATTTGCTTTCTCAGTACTATAACATTCCTGTTCCTACCTGCAATAGGGGAGAAATATTTTCTGTTCTTTTTCTGTGTAAAGGAGATAATGCAGTAACTAATTTTTGTACTTTAGTTACTATTAATATCTCAGTGTCAGAGACAAAGGCATCATCTAATCGTCTGTGTATGACTCCTTACAATATGGCACTGGCCAATTTTCTCTTTGCTCCCTTTAGAGTGGATTTGACTACTTTTCGGACAAATTCTATGGATGTCAAACGTCTGGATGGATGAGAAAAGGAAACGAACAAGACAGGGGAGGCAGTTACTGGGTATTTGGTCATGCTGGGATACATAAACAAGATCAGGACAAAAGGAAGTTTTGGATTACAAAGGCTCTGACAAACCTTTTCAGTAAGTATGCTAAAAAAAGAAGTGACCGGCAGCTCTGAGCTACCCAGCGGTGCTGTGCCCACACATTTCATCTGAACAGTGGAGCCCCATCAGTCTCTGCCACATTTGGAGCGACTCCCAGTTTGTTCTACACTGCAGGGCTCCCACCAAGGATGACGGCACCAACACCAGGCAAAGCACCTGCTCCTCTTTTTGGCACCTCTGCAACAGAATGACAAAGCCCCATGTCCAGGCAAGGCACGCACCTGCTCTGCTGAGCCCAGGAGAACCACTGTCTTTTTTCGTTTCACACTTAGAGCAGGCAAGGTCAAACTGCATTGCCAGCAGTTGATTTTCTGCACAAAATGGGAACTGTACGAGTGGCCGGGTGCCAGATGATCACAGGGCCCTTTTAGTGAGGACATGGACCTTTCAGTGCACAATGATCCCCCCCGCCACCACTCCCCTGCACAGACATGCTATGTAGGGTGATGAGCACAAGCCGAGCGTGCATGGCATGAGAATGGCAGACGCACGAATCGCAGGCAGCTTACGGGAGGTGCTCACCATCAAATGCACACTGGAGCTCGACTTCCTTTTCTGG